GGCCAGACAATCATAAGAGTGNGAAAGTGCACACAGCACACACACACACACACACACACACACACACACACACACGCGCGCGCGTACGCACTCACGCACGCATGACTGCAAACTCACAGATGCGCGCAACATTGAAGAAGACTGTCAGAGGCCAGAGGAGATGCGGTACCGTTGGCAAACATTTCGTCCTCTTTCGTCTGCCCCTCCTTGGCGTAGAGAATGCCAAACTTGAAGCCTCGGATCATCTGCCCCCGCACCAATCGATGACGTCAGCAACCAACCGACACGACGCACGAAACACGACACACGACACACGACACCTGTTTTTCTTCGATAGTGAGGATCTTGGCCGGGAGGTCGTCGGCTTTGATGTGGCGCAGGTTGGCGGGGAGGGCTGGATCGAGTGTCTTGACCACCTCGTTCAGGGAGGGACCCATGCGGAACAGCTTCCGCCACCAGGCCGGCTTGACGTCGTCGTCCTTCACCGTCATCCTCCGATTACCCTACCACATGCCCCGCGAGTGTCACTCGATGCCGCACACGCTCATCGCACACGCACATACCGCACACGTACACACCGCACACGCGCGCACAGCCAGAGCGGAAGCGAGCAACACGTGGGTGGGAGGTGGTTTACCTGTGGCGTGCGGACAAGGGCGCGGTAGCGTCCCTTGGCGGCAGAGTGGATGAGCGACACACAGCACGGCCCGATCTCCGAGTCCTTGCACAACAGGTTGTGATGCTCTGCTGAAACCCCCCCCCCCAAAGCCATCAGTTTCCTCTCCACAAATGATTCTACTTTTCATCTTTAACTCATTCCACCTTCATCTTCATCTTCATCCATCTTCATCTACGTTTCTTCTTCAACTTCGACTTCTACATGTCTGCAACAGATCTTTCTCTAAAAATCGAAAAGATTCAACCTGTTGAAGAAGAAAGGAAAGGAATGATTGAAGGTTGAGAGAGAGAGAGAGAACCTTGGTTGAAGAATTTGGTCTGGTAGAACTTGTAGTCGTTGTCTTTGCCCTCGAGATCGAACACATCGTCGATAATGGTGCCCGGCGCCGGGGAGGAGGACGAGGAGGCAGCTGGGTGTTGACTGTCGGCGTCGAGTCCACCGCCTTCGATTCTGTAGCCCACCGCCTGGGAGACGATGGCCGTGCGCGCCTTGGCCGTGGCGCCCCTCACCGTCCCCTTTCTCACCGTGCGCTCCCCCGATTCCATGAGCTCCGCTTCATCGTCTCCTCCGTCATCCACGCTCTTGCCTCTACTTCTCTTCCGCTCTTCCATTTTTCTCCCTCCTCTCTTCTTGATGTGTGACTCTCTCTCTCTCTCTGCTTTCTCCTCGTCGTCGTTAACGTTCACCGCTCGCAACTGCTCTCGAAAGAGAGAGTTACTCCGTGCGCGCGCGCGAACGAACGTCTAAACCTAACCTAACCTTCTTCGTTGAATCCGCTTATCACACATTCCGCACATTCCCTCTTGTTTTGCGAAGGGGCACATTCCTTGCCATTCTAGGAATGTTGGGGGGGGGGTAACCGTGGGTGGAGGTGAGGGTGTTGTGTTGGGAACAAGTACTTGTTGGTGCATGCGTGCGTGTTGAATGATGCTGCCAGACTAGTCTTGGTCGTGGACGAGGCCGGTGTAGCGCGCGCCCTTTCGCAGACGCGTGTTGATGGCCTTGACCCACTCCAGCTCCATCCTGAACTCGCCGTCCTTCCGCTCTGCCATGAGGAAACTCACCTGTTGTGGGCGTGCGTGAGTGGTGATCCTGCAGACGACTGGGGGGGGGGGCACGTACTGCCTGGAACTGCCGCGGGTCGATGGGGAGGGACTCGCCTTCAACTTGCCCTTGGAACGTGAGCGTGAATCGGTCGAACGGAAGCTGCACGCACGCGGGACATCAGTTCAGGCCACTG